GAGCGGAGGGGGAAGGAGGAACTTTAAGCAGAAGGGATGGGGGGGGGGGTGTCTGCTGGCTCATTCGCAGGCTCAAGCTTAGCTTGCTTTCTGATAGAACCAGGGCCACCAGCCTAGGTATAGTGCCATCTACAGCGGGCTGGGCCCTTCTACATCAACTAACAATCAAGTAAATTCCCCAAATGCAAGACACTAGGCTAACTGATCTAGGCAGTGCTTCCATTGAGACTCCCCTCGCAGGTGACTGTAGCCTGTGCAAGAGATGGTAGAAGCTAAGTAGGACATCTGGAAAGGGAGTACCAGTGAATGATCTAGATTAGATTCACCTGCTGGCAAGACTGGGCGATTGTTTGGAAGCAGCGGCCTAAGAGTGGGTGGCAGTATTCCTTGCTCTGGGGTCCTGGGCTAAGAGAAGGTGAACAGAATACAGATGCATGCAATCATTTTCTCTCTGCTCTTGACTATAAATGTTGCTAGCTGCTTCAATTTCCAACTGCCTTTTATTTCCGTGCAAAGATGGTCTGTGACCTGGAATTGTGAGCTAATAAACCCTTTCTTCCTTAAGCCATTTTTTAAAACGCAGGGTATATGATCAAATCAACAGAAACAAAACTAGGACAGATGGTAAAATTTAAAACTCTCCAACAGGAATATCATGTACTACAAGTACACTTACTGGAAACTTGTTTTGGATTCCTTGCCTCCTTTCCAAGGCCTGGTGCCACCTAAAGAATCATAAGTGTAACCCTAATATCTGACCTTGCAACTACAGCGAAGGCGCAAGGAATGAAAGAATGACCAGCAGTGAGTCCCAGTAAATTCTGCTTAACCTCTTCTAAGGGATGTGCTTGCTCGTCTTACCCAGGTAGAACTGTACAGCTGATAGCTAATAATAAACATCGACGTTTAAAACACTGAAACATCTATTTCTAAGAAAACAGTTCCAGGTGATAGAAATAACACCCAGTTCTTTACAAAACAGGCGTCCTTCCTCAGTCACTACGGGCTACCAGGTAGTTACTAAGCAGGCTTTGTAGCCATACATTTCAGAAGGCTTGTATAGCTACTTAGTTCTGGAAAAAGCATTTCCTTTTGGTTCTCAGTTGTAACAATTTTCAGCAAGCCTCATCAAAAAACAGCTTGAAAGCAGACTGCCCTGGAGAAATTCATCCGTGTTGATTTTTCCAGCAGTGCTGTGCAGCAATCAATTCTTTTCCATAGCAACATAGATGACATCAGCAAGAAAAGGGGAAAAAATAAAAAATCTTTTCCAATTCGGATTCGATTCCTGTAAGCTGTGAAAACGTATGGCCCCGGTGAGAGCTTAGGAATAGGCTCTGGAAATGAGGAGAAGCTCTGTTAATGCTTCCCAAATCATTTGGCTTCTT